TTGGGGGCAGAGGCCAGGTTGGCGGTGGGGCGGACTGAGTGGGCAGCAGAGCCTGGGCTGAGGTCCCCTTTCCTGCTGACAGGTCTTGGCCAACGGGCTGGACAACAAGCTGCGCGAGGATTTGGAGCGCCTGAAGAAGATCCGGGCCCATCGGGGCCTGCGTCACTTCTGGGGGTGAGTAGAGAAGTCGGAGGGAGGCCGGCGGGGGAAGGTAGAGTGGATGGCCTCAGGGGGTTCCCCTCCCCTCCCTGACGTCCTCATTGCTCCCTTCCTTTCCCCAGCCTCCGTGTCCGGGGCCAGCACACCAAGACCACCGGCCGCCGCGGCAGAACCGTGGGCGTCTCCAAGAAGAAGTAAAAAAAAAAAAACAACCCTTTGTGTTAATAAAGACCTTCTACTCCCAGCTGTCTTCTCCATTCTCTCCTCCTTGGGGGCGGGGCAGAGGGGCAGCTGCCTGGGGCTTCCGGGTGGCCTCCCATCCAGAGCGGAGGGGGGGGGGAGGCCTCGGCGGTGGTGGCTGGGGAGGTGGGCCCTTCATTTTCCCCAGGGGCCACACTGGGAAGCTGGGGCTGTGGTGGAGGGCCGAACCAAGAGGGTTGTGAAGGGGTGTGAGCATGCAAACACAGAGAGAAACACACACTTATACACAACAGGGATTGAAGAAAAAAGGCCCCTTTTATAGCCGCAATCCAGCCCAATAGTGCTAATTGTTCATTTCTCCCATTTGATCAAATCTTTTTATCTGTAAAAATAATTGCACGTCATTGTCCTCTTTTATGGAAGAGCATCTATCTCCCTGTTAGCCAAATTCCTAGATATTTCCGCTTTTGAACACTTTGTCATCCCAGTTTCTCTTCCAGTTCTTCTGTCTGACTTTTTGTCAAACGGCTGGTTGTTATTTTCTTTTTGTCTCTATTAATTTTTTTAATCCTGCTACCGCCCCGTATTCTTCTAATTCTTTTCATAGGTAGATCCCTGATTTCATTGGTCTTTCTCATCGTCACGGTTGAGATCCCATCCCTTTCAAGCGGAATCCAACACGGTTGCCTGGTGTGTGTGTGTGTGTGTGGTTTATTTACATTGATTTCTAATCCCCCCCCCCATTTTTTAAAATTTATTTTTATGCTTTAAACCACCTGATTCCAGATTTTAACCTACCTCCATAATCCCCCTAATGACCCTTTTTCATCTTCCTTAATCCAGTTTCACATCACATCATATATTATCTATTCCACTTTACATCGATTTCTAATGTCCGACAGCCTCCTGTGGACACTAGAGGCAAGAAAGAGCTGGAATGTCACCTTCGCCCAGGGGCCATAAAATAAAACTGCCCAGCTCTGATGCAGGTGGCCTGGCTGGGGATGAGGGTTGCTGAAGTCCAACTGGATGGGGGGTGGGGGGACGACGAATTGTTCTCTGGTTCCTGCGGGCTAAGCTGCTCTTTGCCCTGACATTATAGGTGTCTTAAAATGAGGATAATAGACTGAGAAAAGTTTCTTTTCCAAGGCAGTCATTTGAATTGTTGAATTTTACCTTCATTGTCATTGCATTCCACAAATAACAAGGAAATTTGAAAGCCACTCCAGCACAGGGCCCCAAACACCCCATCACCATCACACTACAAGTATTTAAAAATTAAAATAATTAAAATAATAACAGACACATATATCACCAAACACACACACACACACACCAAACCAGAGGAGCGAAAAGCCGCCGCAGCTGCCGCCATATCCTTCGGTTTTGTCTTGAATCAAACAGTGCATTTGTGATTTTAGTCCTATGATTATTATTACTTTAATTTTTAAAGCTGTAGTGTGATGGTGATGGGGGTGTTTGGAGTTTCATTGTATTCGTGGAATGCAATGACCATAAAGGTATTTTATTCTATTCCAGTGGTGGTGGGGCTTTGACCACACCTGTGGGGCCCCTTGCAGGCGCTGGTTCCCGAAGTGGCTGGGTTGGCCCAACTGATCGGGGTTCAAATGAGCCCCCAGGGCTTGTTTGTAGCTGTTGGTGGGGGGGGGGGAGGGGGGGGGGAGGCGGGCAGGGGGAGGGGGGTTGGACTGGCAAAAGGGAGCAACCAGGAGGGTCCACCTGATTCCCCCACCCACCCACCCGCAGGTCCCTCCTTCCAGCCCCCTTGCACCCTTTCCTGGTGGGGAGGGGCAGCCAGTTCCCAAGCGGAACAGAAGTCGCCCTCTTTGGAACATAATCAGAGTTGGAAGGGACCTTATAGGTCATCTAGTCCAGCCCAAGCGGGAGACCCTGCACCATTTTTGACCCGAGGGCAGTCCAGTCTCTTCTGCGAAGCCTCCAGGGATGGCGCTCCCACAACTTCGGACGGCAACTTCTCTTCCGTTGAATATAGAATACCAAGAGTTGGAAGGGATCCCGGAGGTCATCTAGACCAAGCCCAAGCAGGAGAGACCCTGCACCATTCCTGGCAGTCCAGCCTCAAGGGATGAAGCTCCCTTTCCAGAAAGAGCCGCCTCCTTAGGGTGAGGGGTGGTTTCGACTAGATGACCTCCAAGG